CAGGCTCTGAAAGTGCTGGCAGGCGGGGTGAATTTGAACGCCGGTGAAATCTTGAATCATTCCGTTTTTGGATACAAATGTGTCCAAAACCGAGGCGATGCAATATCATGACATTATTGTGTTTATTTGGGTCATGACAATATCATCTTGATATTATTGTTTCTATTTGGGTCATACCGTCATTATCATCACAGCGGGGAAACCTTATGTTACCATTGTATGATGTGGTTGTGTTTTTGTTTCTTGGGTTTTTCCTCGCCGGGTACCTAGTAGTAGTAGTAGTAGTAGGAGGAGTAGTACTAGTTCTAGTAGTAGTCATCGTCATTCTTGGTGTTCACAACGCCTCCTCCGCCTCCTACCCAAACCACCCTTTGTCAGACCTTCCCGGGCTTGGTACAGAATTTATGCTGCGCAAGATGAAAGCCTCGCAAGTGATGATATGTGGGGTGCCGGCCAATTGATGCCACCTGAGCAACCAACACCCACCCCGACCGCATCCACAACCGCGCAAGAACTAGTTTTTGCAGCTTGGAGTCGGCAAACGCAGGCGGGTGCCGGTACTGCAACTAGCTGTTAATAGTCCTCCATTGCTCTTACTACTCGTGCCCCTTCTCCTGCTTCTAGTACTCCAGCTCCTCCTGCTAGCATGCTCCTCCTACTCCCACTCGCATCATACAACACGGACCACCACCACTACCGCTACTATATCTACTATGACAATTCTGCAGCTGTCAATACGGCGACTACAGTACTACATTGACGACACAACAGTGACGATCAAAGCGTACAGCATCAACGCACTAGTTAACGATACTACGCCTCCACGCACTGCTGCTATTCCTGCTATTGCTGTTACTACCACCACTACCCGGCCAACAGACCACCAACATGTCAAATACACAAGGGCTGCCAGCACCCTCGAGGTGCACGTCGTTGTCATGTGCCAGCTTCAACCCTACTAAGACCTACTAGGGGTCCTATTGAAGGCGCCAGCTGTCCTACTGTGACATGCTGCTTTGAGACATCAGCCTGCCAGGCTAGACCTTAGTGCATTTCAAATGAATACTGCCACCTCCTGTTCCTGCTCTCCTTCGCAGCCGTTAGGACGGAGTTCTGGGTCTAGGGGTCTGCGGGTCCACGCCCAAGAATGTCCACACGAAAAACAGCTCAGGCAATTGGGCCTACAAGTGCCTTGGAGAAATGTGGCAACAGAGTGCCTACAAGAGAATGGACTTACTTGCTTTCAAGCTACCAGATGCTTCCCATGAATCGAGTTTGGGAACATGCAAGGCCTATATGCCCCAGGCTATCCAATGGTAACACTGCAAAGACCTCACTTTGCCTAGGGTGGCGGAGCCTTTGATGTACCTGCTGACTGTCGCACTTCCACTGGTCCACGGCCTAACAGGGGTTGGCATTGTGCATGTTGCCGAAGTTGTTTCGCAGATTAGGATTAGGGTTCCTCCTGATCCAAGATGTACATCTTCATCGACGACTTGCACTGCAAGCCTGGCGATCTGAAGGTAGAAGTCTACGAGCTGAAGACGCAGGTGGCAAAGGATGAACAGGAAGATTTCCAGGTAGTTGAAGCTGAAGGAATCAGTAGTTGCGGCACTTGTACTGCGGCTAGTGGAGGGAAAATTTGGGAGTTTAGGCTTTTTGGCTTGATCTCAGCCAGCCCCGTAAACAGGGAGTTCGCAACGCAGAGCCTAACGAGGATTCGAACATGAGGAAAGAGTCAATGTGTAGCTAGGGCAAGGGCGCAGAGGTTGCATTTCCAGAATTGCTTTCTGTTGGTGGGAAGGAAGCATGATTCGCTGACAAGTAAGATGTCAGCCCCGTGTGTGACCCGCTTGAGTTCTAGTTCTTGGCGGTTCATTGCTTCCGGGACCTGTCTTGAAGCACTTCTGAAGCTGTCTGCAGGTTGAAGCACTTCTGGCTAAGCGCTGGCCTCAGCTTTGATGCATCAGCATTGCACCTTCCACCACGGCCGCTACCGCTACCACCACCCCCACAGCCGCCACCACCACAAGGCCACAATGTCACTGGAGTCCGTGATGGTTTATCGTCCAGGAACAGCAATGGCAATGGCGAAGATCGTAAGGGCCATCATGATAGTCAGCAGTGGCAGTCATCAGGGTACTCATGATGATGGTGGGGATGGTAACGATGCCGATGGTCAAAGTTAGAAGCCATCCACCGCCACCGCCACCACCACCACACCAGCCGCTACTGTTGCGACGACTACTCTTATCAGTACAATTACAATTCGTGCTTTAGTTGGTCTTGGATGTAATTGAACTCTGAATCTGCTGGCTGGCGTGCTTGCTGTTTCCAGTTCCCGCTTTCTCAGCACATATGCATTGGCTCCCACTGGCCGGAACTTCTGTGCCAATGTGATTTGGACTCTCTCTCTCTCTCTCTCTGCCCCAAGCTAGGATCTCTGCAATGTGCCCTCACTCTCTCAACCAACGGAGAATGTGGTCCTTTCCTCATGAAACTAGGATGTAGTTTGTGTCAGATTGAGGGCTAACCGGTGCCAGGGTGGAAGCGTTAGCAAATTTGCCTGGACCTCCCGTTCTGGTAGTACTCGCTCTCCCGTACAGCTTGATGAATGAGAGCGAGGAGATTCTTCATGGCAGGCGTTCCTTATTGCGCGCTCGATGATTGCAGACGAATTCGCAAGGGAGACATTACCTGCGGGAAGCTATCATTTCAACTGCCGCTTTTCCTATCACAGCAGTAAGCAGCTCATGGCCAACAAGTTTCTGCACTTGTTTAGGCGCAGTCTCATAATTAAGCTTCAGATGTTTCTTTCCACAAGTGAAAGCCCTGGCATGTGTCGGCACCAAGGCAGGGATGAGACAGGCAGGACGGCTCTTGGGCAGTGTTGTCAGGATGTCCTTCTTTATCCAGATTTCTATGTAGTCTTGATAGTTCTGATTACAAGATTGTGGATTGAACAGTAGCGACATTCTTGGACAAGCAGCTTGACAATGCCTGTAGCTCGTCATTCCATCGTGGGCTGCTTTGCAAAACAGGTGGCTGTCGCATGCAACATGGCGCAAGACAAGCGAAAGCAAAATTGCATGCTTTCAGGCAAGAGTGGGCAAAATCACGTGTGATGGCTTGGACCTCTCAGTATTTCAAGAACCTGGCTGCTCTTCAAACCCACTCTATTGAAACGGAGCCGACGGCTTCCAGGTCTTTTTGGTATTCTGGCATATTTGCTGAAGCAATTATTCTTAGTCGTTCTTGCGGAAGCCGTCGACTACGAAAGCAGTACCTTTTTTAGGCTCTTTGAAGTGTTGCCCTCAACTCCTTTGTGTTGCGGTGTTCGTCCCTGAACTCTGCCCAAGACACATTTTTGTTCTTCCTTGAGCGTTGAGTTGAGCATGGGGGACTATTAGCGCTGGGAAGCTAACCAAGCGAATCATGCTGGTGCTGGCGCCAAAAGCGGGCAAATGATCCCGTGGGTGCAAAAAAGGCATTACAGATGATTTCAATTCAGCATCCAGGATGCAAACCTGTCATCTTGGAAGACTTGCCTATGCATGTTCGACTGCGTCCTGCAAGACTGGCTGTGCAAGCCAACTTCTGCACTGCACTGGATTACAAAAGCAAGAATCAAAAGCGCCCGGCATAACATTTTCGCAATTATTTCTATGTATATATATATATATTTCAAATTTCCTGATGGCAGAGACAATAATACAGCAATTTATATGATAGGAATCTTGAAGGTTCTGCGATTTTGAATAAAAAAAGACGAGATATAAACTTATTCTATTGGAATAGAGGATTCAAATGAAATCTTGATTTCCTGAATTTGGGAGACTATAGATATTCCGACATATTATGATAATGAGATTCTTAAATGCGCGCATTTGAGCATAGATTCGGAATTGGAAGTTGGTTTGGGGCAGGATATTTTGATCGTTGTCTATTATGTGCGATGAGAGCTCGGATATGATTTGAATTTAGGTATTTCTTGAGGAATTATATTTGTTCGATTTGATTTGATTTATATTTTTCGATTTTGGGTTCGTATTGATTCGTAATATTTGGATTCTAATTATCGCGAATTTAGTGAACTTATGATGAAGAATCATATTGGAATAGAAAAAAAAAATGATGGGACTATATGAAGACTCTATAGGATGATATGTTATTTGATTGAATTTCGGGCGTATAATGGTTTTTTTCTTTTGAAATCTACGAAAATAAATTTGTCGGTTCGGAATGATAGATGTAGATTGGGGATGCAGCTGAAATTCTAGTTTCGTATTATCTGCAAATATTTGCGGGGAAGTTGGATTCTTATTTGATGAGGTCGTTGATAGAAGAATATTTATCTCTAGAAAAGCCGCTTGAAGATATTGATTAGCTGTAGAATGCGGGCTTCTCTTCAAGATTCGAGAATGCTAATAAGCTTCTCATATTTTAGATATGAACGATTTTTTTTAGCATTTCTGGAAGTTGGGAGATAATCAATATTGATAATATCGTCTTATGATATAATTGCGCATAATCTTCTCGACGAGATATGCGGGTTCGGGTTTTTTACTTTGCGAATTGGGCGAGATATTCTCATTTGAAGAGCCCGCCGGTCTTTGGGATATAATCATTCTTTGCCCCTGGGATTCTTTTTTGATTGATTCTCCTCCCGGAGAGTTCTCTCCCTGCGCTAGCGATTGCTGACGCCAGGTTGCCCCTCAGCGCAGGTCCGAAGCAATGGATGACCAATTAGTTTTCGGAAGCTCTTTTGGGCGTAGGTCTCCCTGAGAAATTACTCGTGCATTATCTGCGTTTCTGTCTTTGTCTTCGCGGGATGTTGGGTCCCTGGACGTTCGGCGGGAGGGGGCGGATTTTAATGCATGGTCTGGGAATTTGATGTCGGGCGTCTTTTCTTCTTCTACGATTATATTTGCCTTCTTTTCTTTCCCTACGTATCTTCCAAACGGCGGATACGAATTTGGATTTAGATATAATAACGTCGTTTCGTTTATTGAATGAAATATATTAATTTGATATATTTTTTTATATTTGGAGAATCGGATCATATGAACGAGATATTGATTCTCCAATAGATTTGATTCTTGTCGAAGGAAGGTCTACGCCACGCAACTTGTTTTTTTATCAAATCAAATTGCGTCAAGGGTGCGAATGATAGATAATTATATGGAGGGATATAGAATTTCTCATTCTCTTTATCTGGAGGAATAATAATACGATGCCATTGGCGGGAGCAAATTAAGATGTATTCCAGCCAGATATTAAATATTTCGATAAGAGGGAGATATATATATTATATTCTGGAAGGCTAAGAATTTTGGAATGTGGTTATTTGATTTTGTAGATCGAAATCTAATTGAGTAGAATCATATATCATGCGCGATATCATTATATTCTTTAGATTCATCTGGAATTTTTTTGATTGATATAATGACGATATAGTAAGTCGGTCCGATATTTGGCGCGAAACTAAATGGCGCAGCTTGATATTCTTGGTAAAATATAGATAAGAGCGCAGCAAAATAGATGATCGTGATCATTCTCAATCTATATTTCGATATTTGACAGAATATTATATTCTATATTTCTCGATAGAGATCGCGATCGATTGCGCGTGCCTTTGTCTGATCCGGATTGCGAAGAGAAAAAGGAAATCGAGGTTGATCTTATTTCTATTTATATGTTCAGAAGAAGAAGTAGGAATCGAAATACGTGGAAAGGTTACTATTCGGAGATTACGTTGGGATGATAAATAATATGGCAGCGGCGTCCCAGAGATATGCCTCGATGCAAAATCATTCGTCAGATACGAAGCTAGCATTAATAATCCGAAGAGATTAATCATTGCGGGGAAGATATTATAGATTTTCAAAGCATCCGAATAGTAAGATTCATATTCGACAAAATATAATCGAGAAGAATACGATAAAATCTAAATATATCATATAAAAAAATAACGATAAGAATAAATTTCTGAATTTTTAGAAAAAAAATCTCTATAATATCTTGATTAAATCAATATCTCAGATAGGCGTATCTTCAGAATGATGAATTAAGATATATGAGAAAAACGATCTCTCGCAAATTAGTGTATTAATATCATCTTTATCATATAATTTGTAAAGAACTCCGTATTCTTATTTAGATTTAATATAAAATATTTTTCGGCATCCGAATCAAATAATTCAGATCTACGATCAGAAAATCGTAAATATAAATATCTATAATTCGGATAATTGATGAAAGCTCTAGATATTTCTAGAATCCGGACTTCTCAAGAATTCCGCCTCTTCCTTCCCGGGATCGGGAAATCGCTTCTGCCATTTGATCACGGATTTCGCCTAGAGTTCTTGGGTTATCTACGCGGCGGCTCGGGAGTAGTGCATAAATCCCCGTGGCCTATATGGCCAGCCTAGAAATTCAAAAAAATCTCGGATCTCCATCTCGGTCAATACGCTCCGCCCAACAGTCGCACAAAGAGAGATAAAATCACGCAGAAAACGTTCCGGAAGCAAGGGCCATGCGACCAAAAATCTGCGAGATTTTTGGTCACGTCGCCTGCACCTCGGAGATTTTTCAGCCTCTAATTATAGCTTTTCCGAAGGGCTAAAAGCTCCGAAATTTTAGAGCCCCTACGAAGCCCGCAGAAAGCATTTTAAAGGTGAGCCGGAAAACCTAGGCCGCGCGCGAGCGAAATGACCGCAAGTGGCCGTGCGGGGTATTTAGCCCTCAATCTCGCGATTTTGCGCAGGTCCCTTCATTTTTCATTCTGAATTTGCTATCTTTCAAAAATAAATTGATGCTCCTATAATTGAAAAAACTAAGGAATCCAAAATTTTCTGCAGAATCTACGGAATTCGTATCATCAATTTAAGCTCATGATGAAATCCAGCTGGATTTTCCGCATCACAAAATTATTGCGATCGTGACGCCGGGATCTGCCTTAACATCCTGAACCCGCTGACCGTCATCATTCGAATTTGTTCCCAGATCAAGACATCGAACACTATGGTGATCACAATACATAAAGTTTCTGCACATAAGTTCGGAATGATCCTGCGAGAAAGCTCGTCTGTTCAACCTCTCTTCATCATCTTGATCTATCCCGAGCTTCCCAAGAAGTACCCCTGATTAGAACACCTGCCATGTAAGGTCAGTTCCCTCATCTAGTAAACTTTAAAACCTTTTTGCGCATCATCAAGTGCTCCTGCATGGACTATTCATATCACAGATCATTCCAACAGTTGATGAACATGTTCGGGCCAGCGGGCAACAGGCTGACCATCATCAAACTAATACACCTGCGACACCATAGTTGGAGCCGGGTGGGGGAAGGAAATGTAGCAATCTCTCAAGCTTTCTGTGTTCCTGTAATGTCCAGTGGAGGTAAGGGCATGTCATTCAACCCTTCATGAAATTGTCCCTCACTCATCTTCTTCCTCGTCGTCATCATCTTCAACTTCCACAGCTTCCTCCTCTTCCTTCGGTGCTGGTCAGCTTCTGAACGGGGGTGTGTCCCTCCGTGATTGCTCCTCTTCCGCACATTACTGGCCCTTTGATTGGGGCGCCAGCCATTAAAGGGTTCTGTTTAGTGCGGGGCCATGACCCAGAGAAACCCCGAAAGAGCTCAACACTCCGGGGCAAAGAGTGATGTCAGCAACATCAATCTTCCTGTCCTCACCCTCCACATCTTCGTAGGTGTACTCCGACCTCTGCGCATCCGTCTGCGGCAGGCTTTTTGCTCATGGGGCTTGGTTTTTTGCGCGCTACGCACTGCTGCTGAGGCCAGGACGCTTCTGTGTACGTATACTCCGACCTCATACGCGGCAGCACTGCGCATGTGAAACAGCAAGGCAGTACTTTACAAGAACACAATCATAAATGCGCATTGCTTAGTTCCATGCAGAATTGAAACCCCCGATAAACAACAGCAAGGCACACCAGGACATCTTTGAGGTCCAGGCTCATTCCCATCACCCACAGCCTTTGCCGTCGCCTGCATCGCAGCAGAAGCCGCCCAGGAACAGCTGACAAGCCGCAAGCGTGCACTTGCTTCAACACAGCAGATGCTAGATGCGGTGGTGCTAAGAAAGGGTCGTAACATGCTCCGTCGAGAACCAAAACCTTGCGGGCCTTTGCAGCTGCGGGTGCAGATTTCGATGCCTGGTCATGGACAATGCCTGTAGGAATTGAGTTGGCAAAGGCAGATGTCCTTCCATCATGCCAGTGCGAAGCTAGGCATCTTTCCGCTCTACTCTGGAACGCCCTGTTTCAGCAACTGCTGGCAATGCAGTGCAGCCAAGTCACAGTCGGAGGCTTTGAGTTTACTTTGGGCCTGCGTCTGGTGAGCTCTCAACAAGCAAGAGCTGCACTTCGAGGACGATTAGGCCTACGAGGTTAGGGAGGGGACAGCGTGAGTTGGCAAAATCAGATTCTGCTTCCAAACACCCGCAGGAAGCCTTCTCCTTGTTCAGGATTTTCTTAATACGGACATCAAAAACAGCCCCCCTAACAGGTAACAATAGAATACCTGAGCCTAATTAGCCTGCAACAATCCCACGACAAAACAGGACTTCAAAATGAACCCACAGTACCAAGTTGCATTTTCAGGACGCAAATTAACACAAAGAGGTGTCCTTGGAGCTCCAACAGTCGGTGTGGAGTGCGTCTGCTGGGCAGGCTGCTGCGGTCGCCTGGGTACAGCTCATGGATTTGAAAAACATGAAACCTCGCTCCAGAGATGCTTGCAACACTAGCTTGTTACCGGGAAACAATCACGTTCCAAGTCTGAGTCAGAAGCAACATGGGGCTCCTCAAACTTATTTGGGGCTTCGGAGGCTCGGGAATTACATATCTCAGAGATGATGATGCCCTTGAAACACATGTGAGACCGTGACCAACGATTCCATGACCCACCCAAAGTCTGTCAGAGTCTAGCACAGGACTGGCCATCATGAGCACATGACCTGGACTTGCATGATCAGAGTGCCTCCGCTTTCCCCAAAACTCTGATGCCACCCAAGTCCGGCACCTTGGGGCGGCCTTTGCCCTGGTGGCAACTAAGGGTGGAAGCGCCTCCCGAGCGTTCAACCAAGCATGGAAGAAGAAGAAGAAGTCGTCAAATGTCAAAAAGTGAAAGCAAGAAGAACCAGAATCATGTTCGCAAGGAGCATAATCATGTCCACGGTGATAATAAAAAAGCATCATCGTCCTCACATCATACTTTAGCAAGTAAGATGATGTAGTACTCACGGTCATATGTCATATCCAAGAAAGGTAGCACTGTCTCTGCTACTCCCTCTCGCCCTATGTTTGTCTTAAAGGATCAGCTGCTGCCGAGACAGGGAGCCAAGCAACCCCTCAGGTACCTGGTTTGCTGCAGTTCCAAGGTCTAGGGTTGTTGGGGTGATGCAGGACTCAAATAGTCTTGGTAGCTTGCAAGATGCTGTTAATGTGATCTTTCTTGGCTTAGCTTGCTTTTTTGTTCGAAGGCTTCTGTGATGGGCTTCAACAGGATGAGGGATGTTGTTGATAAGTGTTGAGGTTTCTTTCTGGAGGCTACCATGGACCCATCCGTGTGCTTGGAAGCGTAACTTAACAGACCGCCCAATGCGGGCGGTACGCAGGGGCCTGCTGGTGCTTGTTGGCATCAGCCGGCTCCTGCTTGGTTGCAACTGCCTGCCACGCTATCAGCAGAATTGCTTGGCAAGCAATGCCTGGATCTAACTTGATCATTGAATTCACGACTCCATGTCCGAGACCCTCCTGAATGGTTCACATGCCATGACTAGAAACCTGTCTTCTGGCAGCTTCTGAGGTCTCAAAAAAAGAAGCTTTCTTCCACCACTACCACTCAGAATGCCAGGAGCCTGACTGAGGGATCCTAATTTGAGACTTCCCCCTTTGAGCCTTCTTTGGCTCAGGCTTCTTGGCAGCCTCAGAGCAACAGGTCGAGCAACTGCAAGAATAAAAAGTTCGAGGGGTGCAGGGATCCAGTTTAGGGGTGTGGGGGTTGCAGTGCATGGCTCTACGGGCTTAGGAACTTTGGACTTGGGTGAATGGTCAATGTTATCTTTGCACCTGCCTTACGATTGGTTTCCGGCTTATATTGTTTCGGTCTGATGTTAAAGCCCAGTCAGACCCACAAGATCCTATTGAATCCCTCTGGACCTATTTGGCCATCCACCCAACCGCGCCTCGCGACGGCTCTTCTCACGAGTTCCTTTTGGAAAGCTACAGAAGACACCAGGCTGTTTCCAGTCTAGGTTGATATGTGTGCATATTCACTTGTGGGCATTGTAGGCAAACAGGCAGGCAGGCAGGCAGGTAGGTAGGCAGGTAGGTATCTTCCATGTCAATATCATTTTGGCATGTATCTGCATGTCATGTAAGTATGCTGCGCGTCTTCTACTTGCATATAAACTGAAGTCAATATTTCCCCAGAAATTTAGTGGGCATGGGTTCCGTTTCAGGAATTATTTTAGGGGCTATACTATACTACAAAATCTACGCCTATGTCAGCTGTTAAGGGTCCCTTGCTAAGGCTAATATTTACAATGGCACATAGGGCCACTCAGCGAGCCTTGCATCTTCTCCAGCAGCTTCTCCGTGCGCTCCTTGGCCAGCGCAACCGTTTTGGGGGGGGGGCCATTGCAAAGGAAACACATGGGGCTGTATGGGAGATGAGCGAGTCGCATGGAGAGTAAAGGGATCCCTTTTGAAAGACTCTTTGCAATGAGTACCTTCATGATTGAGGGTAGCATTGCAGGGAGGTCCGAGAATTCCCGCCTGGCGCCGCCGAAAACAAAACGGCAACAAACGAGCCCAAGTTCTTGCCGCAAAATTCCTCAAAGGCAAGGTTCCTGGGCTACACAAGAGAGTCAAGGATCAACGTCGACTTTCCGCAGCAAGATTCGCATGAAGGATTTCGCAGAAAGGACGCTTATCGCGAAAGTCCCTACAAGTCTGAAGACGGAACCCCAGAACTGCAAGCCCAAACCCTTTATGTCCCTGGAATCTCAAAGGATACCTTGGTTTTGAAGAAACACGCTCGACACCCTAAATTGCATACAGCTTGACAAGGCACTCCAGCAACCATGCGGTCTGAAGCCGCAGATGCCCTGGCATGGGAGTTTGCCTAGGTTACTCTTGTCAAAATTCAACTTCAAGGGTTACAAGGGTTCTAGGGGATGATGGAGTCATAGAATGTGCGCTACTTTGTGGATGCCACCTGCGCCGTCCTCGCTCCCGCTCCCTGTCCGACCGACCATGGCGCATTCGCGGGGCATCCTCCTTGCGTGAAGATGCTGGAATGGAGTCCCCCTTAAGTAGATAGAATATGGGGTATATGGGCATCTTATTATAATATATTCAAAGCCATATTCTATCTACTTAAGGGGGACTATAAGCAAAAAGAAGCCTTGAAAATCAATAGCAACACGAATAGTCCACTTCATGCAACACATGCTAACAGCTCACCAACCAATGTTATAGGGACTCCCGGAACAGGACCCCGAATTTCTGAGATGAAGACGCCCCGTCGGCGCTCCGGACGGCTCCGGCTCCTGAAGGCGGTCTACTAGCAAACTAATGGGGGTCTAGGGCTTCGCAACAGCCGACCTATGCGCTGCTCGGCGGCGTGAGCGATCGCGTTCCTCACGCCGAGGAAGGTCGTCCCGCCTGAAAGGAGCGAAGCATACACATGTTTCGCAGGCCGGGACATTTTGTAGCCCATCCTTTTTTTGATGTCTGACCCCCGCAAGTCCACTTGCCCTCCTCGTTTCTCAAATCCAATGAAACCCTTCTGTACTTTTGTTCTGGCAGTCTTGGCTTAGGCACTGCCCCCCGACACATCTGGCACTGACAAGGGCTGTCGTCAGCAGAAAAGCAAAAGACATCGAGTGAAGGACTCATGAAAACAGAACTTGTGCAGAAGGCAGTGCGTAGAGCGTGACAGGCTGTGGCTACGTCCACTTCAATTGGGCGACTTTTCTCGAGGCAAGACCGAGCAAAATATTCAGTGCTGCGAAGGACCTTCTTGAAACGTAAGACACTGACTCTTCGTATGTTATGCATCCGAAGCGGAATGATGCACGTGATATGGGCTCTCTATCATGCATAGTACTTGTATGGGTAGAGGCTCGAGCAGTTGTGGAAACGATTCTGGACTCTTGTTGATGATTCGCTGTGGTTGGCGATTGTCGTGGGTATATGTTGGTATGCTTTTTTGCGCAGGAAGGTTCCCGTCTCTGCTTCAACCATGGTTGACGTTAGTGTGATGTATGTGTGGCCAGCTCTTGACAAAATCCGGGCAATACTAAGCTGAGCATCCGTTTGGCTCGAATTGTGGGCTTGTGCAGAGAGGAAAGAAACGATTGGCACTTTGTGGCTGAACGGCCTAGTAGGAGTCATCTGATCCTTGATGTGGTCCTTCTCTTGGGAGCTTTTGCCCTTAGATGCATCGCCTGCGGCGTTCACCACGACCTCGGTCGCCATGCCTGGCTTTCCCAAGTTGCAGCGCAGACATTCTTTTGCATGCGCCAAGAGCAGGACGTCTATCTATCCATGCAATATACAATCATGCAATACCATGTAAAACGGGACCCCGGACAGGTACCACCATTGGCATACCCGCCAATGAGTCAACATCGGAAACGGTTGACAAGCAAAAAGACAAACACTTGCAAACAGTCGCCTCCGATCCATGTCCTCACGACGAGAGGTCCGGCCTCCCAAAATGAAAGAGGTTAAAGCTGGCAAAGACCTGTCTGCAAGTGACTGAAAACCACTGCCCTGAGGCGGGTGTTGTTTCATAGCTGCTGGTTAAACAGCCTTTGCATACACAACTAATGCTACTGCTTGCAGCATGGCCTCCTCCATGTCGACGCCTCGGGATGCTTTGGGGTGAGACCGAACTCGCCACACACGGTCCTTGCCCTCGTGAACATTTTGGCGCCTATCCAGCTGAGCTGACC